ATCCCTTCCCAAAACTAAGCACTTTGTACTTAGACTTGATTATTTACTTCATGCTTTTACTGCCCTCTTATATGGCAATAATCAATCTGTCCCCAAATTGATTTCTTTCCTTAATTAAACCTATTACTACCCGTTAAACAGTGATTCCTTAATTAAAGGGAATCACTTGTGTTAATTGATTCTGATTGTGATTATTTTCATGTTTGTGTTTAAGACTTTACCTCTTCTTCACTCGTTTTCAGAACTATAAATACCCACCCCATCTTCTTTCAAAGACACGAACAATTTGAGTTCAAGAACACACACTTACACTCAAAACTTTCTCTCTTTTCTCTACTACTACTTGTGCTACTGGGCTGAAAGCCAAGGCTAGACTATGGAATTTTGCTTACTTTTTGCATTTTGCTTCTCTACTGGTATGTCCTAGTTAATTTTCAAGCATCAACAACAACTTGTTTCTTAAATTGTTCCAACTTCTCTCATTCTTGTCTACTTCTGCTTATGTTTCTGCAGTCAAGTTATATTACTAGCATGCTGAATATGTTCCCTTCCCCTTTTAAATTAATGCTCTCCTATGTGTATGAATCCCAAACCCCATATCCCCTCTATGTGTTTGTGTTCCTTTGGTTGGTTTGTAGCCATGCCAGCATCACCTATTGCTGTGCATGACTAAACCAGACCCCTACTGGGTCATATGCTTACAAACAATGTATTCCCAAAACCCCTTGACCCCTTTTATGACTATTAATTCTATGTTTTGATCATTACCCCAACTCCTTTTATGACTATTAATTCTATGTTTTGATCATTACCCCAACTGATTTTAAATACTTCTGTTACTGATTACCTCCAAAAATGGACTTACCAGTCCAGTTTTAAACAAACTCTTTTTTTAAACTGTGTGTTTTGCACTTCTACTATATTCTTAGAACCTAGGTCCTGCCCCTCTTGTATGAGCCTTGCCTTGGGACCCTTGAGCTCTCTCTGAACTTGGACACATAAGGGCTGACCCTTCCACACTGCACTCATTTCTGTCTGGTTATGCAAACCTGGGTGTAAACACTGTCCGGGGTCTCTTAAGGCCCTTAGGGAACTTTGACACACCCAGGTCTGAGAAAGGCTTTGAAACAACATTGGCATTTAAGGTAGTTTATTCCATAACTCAGAGAGAAAGTCAAGAATCATGCTTACTATGGTTGTAACTTCTTATTTTTGCACTTTTCTGATGTAATTCAGTCATTTTTGGTCTGTAATAATTTGTAACAAATATTGGGGTTGGCTTGTGAAAGGGATGGGGTGATTATGCATGCTTTAGCTATTAGAAGGGTAGATATCTGTTTAATAAATTCTGTATGTTTTACTTCCACACTTAGATACCATGCCTATAAGTTCTGAATGGCTATAATAAGACATCATGCCTACAAGGTTGAAATCAACTTTGAAATTAGATGTCATGCCTATGATATCCAAATCATTTTTTTTATAGAAATCATTCCTATAGGAATTTCGCTGTGATCAAATGAATCCTGCTTGCTTCACTTCATGTTCAATTAGATACCATGCCTATAGGAATTTCGCTGTGATCAAATAAATCCTGCTTACTTCACTTCATATTCAATTAGATACCATGCCTATAACACCAAAATCAGTCTTTAATACTTAGATACCATGTCTGTAGGAATTAAAATCAGCTATAATAGAGATCATGTCTATAGGATGTAAAACCAGTTTAGTTAAAAATCGGTTTGACTCGTATAGTTCTGAATCAGTTTAAATAACTTGCTCTTTTAAATTAATACGGTTAGAAAGCATGCCTATAGGATCCAAATCGCTCGCTTCGAATTGTTTTCTGTTTTACTACATTCCTAATTAGTAATAGACATCATGCTCATTATTGCTCCTAGGCAAGCCTTAGGTAATAATGATAAAACTGAACTCGCCTGTGTTTAATTAGCACTGCTACAACCAGCAGGCAGGCATGATTCGGACTTCTTATCTGAGTTATGTAATAAATTGGTTTGCTTCAACAATTAAAACACCCTGCCTTAGTACTTTAAATTCTGACCCTAACTGTGTTTAAGTCATGCTATTTATATGCATTGTTTGTGGAGGTATATATGAGCCTCTTAATTGTTTATGTGTTTCCCCTTTAAATGCAGTTCTACATGTTTTTGTTTGTCGCCTTAGCCTTTTACCTTTAAAACCTAAGAGTTAGTATAAAGTCCTCCCTCTTATAGGAAAGTAGTCCTAAATTCCTCCGGGACGGATAAGAATGAGACGGGTAATAACATGCAGTAGAGGTCGAGACCAATCCGCGCTTTAATACCTTAGCGGGGTGGGAAGGGTAGATATGGATATGAAGACCGATGCGCTAATACCACGTGTATTCTCTCTTCTGAAGAATGTCATACCGGGTATCGCATTGATGTGATCCATATTATAAACAAAACTAGGACCCCCTCCTTTTTATATTCTCAAGTATTTGTAAAACTGTAACTCTTTTTTTTTAAATTTGCCCTTTAATGATTGTTTTCAAACTCTTATGTGTTTAAACTTAAATCCCCTACTATTTGAGCCTATACTTGTCTATTTGCTAACTGTACAAATTCACAAAACTGTCTGGCCGGGAACCACACTAGTGGATCCTAAGGGGTGCCTAACACCTTCCCCTTAGGATAATTTCAAGCCCTTACCCTATCTCTGGTTATCAAAGAAACTTAGAAATGAACCCTATAGGTGTCCTAATGCACCTTAAATCATTAGGTGGTGGCTCTTCAAAATGCAAACCCTGTTCCCAAAAGGAATGAGTTGTCCCATACCCAAAAATGTCATAAACCCAATTTTTCGAGGGAAAAAGGGGGCGCGATAACATGTAATAATTCATATATGGATTCGTGACTTTTATGAAAATACCATGTGAGTTGATTACGGCTATGTTTTAAAAGGCTAAGACCTTCAAAAGGTCACTAGGTCGGGCCTGCTTTCAAGGCCTGAAGGCCAAGTCTGATGGTTCTGAAGCTTAAGGTCATCTGGGCCTCAACTTCGTAGTAGTCGAGTGAGCCCAATAACTCTCGTGGCCCGTTAAGAGTCAGTAGCCTTTCGCTTGAACTGTGGCCCATTCTTATTCCTACTTTATTGATTATAGGATAAGAGAAATTTTCATAAAGCACTACTCCCTTCGATTCAGAATAAGTGACCAATTTGTCTTTTCATTTTGGTTCAAAATAAGTGTCCAGTTATGTAATCAAGAAAGAATTCAATTTATTTTTACAAAATAACCCCTATGTACATATCCATAAAAAGTTTTCTTACTCATATTAAATGTTTAATTAGGGGTAGTTTAGTCATAGTAGGTATTTTTGTATAGAATTTAGTATTTTCTTAATGGGCGTGCTAAAAGCAAATTGGTCACTTATTGTGAACCGGAGGGAGTATATTTTAGTGGGAATTAGCTATCTATAGATACCATTTGCTATATTACTGATTGTAGATACGTTTTCTGTTGTTATAAGATGTATTTGATGTATTTAAGCTACTGTATTCATGAATATAGTAGCAAAAATAGGTGTGAATTAGGGAAGTCCAGCTAATCAGTTGTTGTATTCGAGTGTATTCGACTGTATTCATGGCGTGAAACATATGATTACAACTGGATAGATTATTGTATTCGCCTGTATTCACGGCGTGAAACAGGGGATTACACTGTTTTTAAATGGAAAGTGAATTAATTAACATAATAGACTCCTAATATAACTCAACAAACTCAATTACAACACACAAATTTTGTATTTCCAGTTATAAAAAAGATTCTCAACCGAAAAATACTCCAAAAACATAGAAATCTTCAGAGAAATTATACAATACATCTGAATACATAAATTATATTAATTAAAAAAATATATAAATACATTCATGGCATATAGCGAGACAATGAATACAATAAAATACATAGAATACAATGGGATACATTGAAATACAATTAAAAAAAGACAGTGAATACAATGAAATACATGGAATACAGCGAGATACATTGAACTACAATGAAAAAATAGACAATGAATACATGAAAATACAGTGTGATATATTGAAAATACATTGAAATATATTAATCGAAAATCAAGTTGCTCAGCCCTAATGGGTCCCCAAATCTGATCCAATGAATTACCAATTGGCCCATCAGTTTTCGAAATATTCCTCTTAGTTTCATTTGACAAGCACTAAATACATCATCAATCAGAGATATACAGACGATTCAGGTAGTGTATTCAAAACCCTAGGATCGCACTGAGCCCGTGAACGGAAAAAGGAAGGAATCATGATGCTAAGAACACCACCATTGAAGCGAAGGGCGCAGATCAAGCAACTTGAAGATGGCAGTCCGAACTCCAGCAATCGACAACTCATCATCTATGAGGATACGCCATTACCTGATTCGGAAACGAGATCCAAACAAAGGCTCTTGAGATACAACCTTAACCCTTCTGATGCTAACTTGATGGAGAGGGTTGCGCATCCATGGAAGCCTATACTACACCATGTCTCCCTAGAGAGAAAGGAGAAAGGAGAGAGCGTGAGGTTTTTGACTGGGGAAAGAGAATGACAAGTATCAAAGTAGAGAAAGAAAGAAAATAGTGTAACTGAATAGCGTATTTAATAGCTTAGGGGTAAGAGGTAACCAAAATTAGATATTTTGCTATAAACATTAAAAGGTATCTATAGAATATAATTTTTTAAAATGATATTTATTTAAAATAAATAAGGTGTTAACCTTTGCTATATGAGGTAAAAATCTCTTGATTATAACTAGCATGCCACAATGACATGTGCAACTTTCAATTCCTAAAGTCCAACTTTTGAATCTAGAGATTTAGATAACCAATTTAGTCCATTAGAGTATATTTGTTTTCACTTTGTTTTGAATGAAATAGTTTATAATTATCTTTTTTTTAATTAAAATTAAATTGTATTAATAAAAAAGTATATATGTACAAAGCCAAGTAGTTGATGACCATCTACTATCCAGAATCTGAATCTAGTCCTTGATTACACATTTCATTCACACACTACAAATCTAGGAATTGCTTAAAAGACTAAAAACAGAAGATATAATGATCATCACATACAAAGGAACTAAGCAAATCTATATAAGCTATGTAATATGTGTTGCCATGATGGATGTCTTCTACCTCTAGTGTGCACGTGAAGGACAATCTCTCTGCAAATTATGTGCTCCTCGAAAGTGCCTTGCTGGAATCTAATCATGTTTCTTTTCCTTCATAAACTGTATATTAGCAAAGCAAATACATAGCTAGCAATGGCCCCTCGCCCTGTCTTTTTTTTAGCCATTCGATAAGCCCAGCTAAGCTCCCCTTTCCATCCATTTATGTTACTTTTCATGCCTAACCACACCGGTAATCTGGTCCACACACTTTTTGTTACTGAGCATTCAAAGAATAGATGCTCTAGTGTTTCAGTAGTGGTTTTGCAGAATGCACAATCTTGAGGCACCTGCACTCCTATTTTATTTAGCCTATCCAGTGTAGCTAGTCTTTCATGTGTAGCCAACCATAATATGAACTTGAATATGGGATGGATGCTTGTCTGTAAGACTATGCTCTTCCAAGGGACTTTCTAATACTGGAGCATCAGTATAAGGTCGGCCTGCTTAATTGAAAATTGTTCGTGCACCAGCAAAATCTTCAGTCGATCAATCAAGGATCCCTTCATGGATTAACTCTGCAGGGTCTTTCTAGTCTCTAAAATTTTCCTGATCACCTATGTTGCAGCCTTAGGTGTAGGCATGTGCTCACAATCCTGTTTTTTGATGTAGTAGTTATGAACCCATTTTATCCACAAACAGTCTTTTTTTATTGCAACAACCCATAGTTGTTTGTTTGATCACAACAGCTTTGTTCCAAGTGCACAACTTTATGACATTCAAGCCACCAGCAGTTTGGGGCATATAAACTTTTTCCCAAGATACCAGTGCTTTCTTTGTAATGGATGCCTCACCAGTCCATAAGAAAGATCTACACACTGTTTCAATCATCTTCATAACCTTCTTGGATAAAAGGAATATTTGTGCCAATAGGTTTGAATACCAAACAATGATGATTTGATTAGTTGTAGTTTACCAGAGTAAGAAAGCAGCCATGCAGACCAACAACTAATTCTTGTTGTGATCTTCTCAATTAAGGGCAGACATTGTTGAATAGTTAATTTTTTAGATGACAGGGGTACTCCTAGATATTTGAAAGGGAGAGTACCTTCTTCAAACCCCAGTAAGTTCAATATATCTTGTTTTTCATATGCATCCATCCCAGCTTGGTAAATAGAGCTTTTATCAGTGTTGGCTTGTAGTCTAGAAGCTGTAGAAAATCTTTGAAAAGCCCCTTGAAGGAGTTTAATGGATTCAATATCTGCTCTGCAGAGCATGAGTAAATCATCAGCAAAACAAATATGGATTATGCCCAGCTATCTGCATCTAGGATGGAAGTTGAGTTTATAATTATCTTCCTTAACTATTTAGCGTGCACCAATCTTAGAATAAAGAATAAAAACGTTAATGATGTTATTAGGACGAATTAACTCCAAGCGTTGCCTTCTAGCAATTTTTGTAGCCTTACCGTACTTTCAGCAAGCTTATTAAGTTTTAGTTAATTCATTAGCTAATAAATCAATTTATTAGTTTAACTTGGAACTTCTTTAATAATTGCAGTGGTAGAATTTCAATAATTTAGTAAATTGCAAACATTTTCCTTAATTTAGTGATATAATTGATCTTGTTAATTATTCTTGGTGATCAATCTTATACTCTTTCCATAATTCTATATTCATAATTTATGGCCTTACAACCATCTCAAAATTAGAAAAAGAAATCCACACACTAGTATGCTTTACGCACGTTTCAAATGATATGGCTATGTATACATCCGCGTAACATAGATATGGTTCATAAATTAAAGGGCAAAGCACGTGTTCGCACCGCTTACCTAAATCATTTATTAATAATAATATGTCTTTAATTATGCACATGTATGCTGTGATTCTTGACCCGCAAAACAAGACAAAGACGCGTACGCATGACTTGTTCAAGATAATTTTCATAATTACAATAATCAAGCAATAATAAGCAGATAAAAAGCAAAGTCCATAAAACACAATAGACATTCAGATTAGTTAAGCCAATTTTAAGTTAATTAAGCGACATGCTAAAACCACAAGATTCGGGGAGTGCCTTACACCTTTTTCCCGATCAACAGAATTTCTTACCTAATTTTTTGTCTTCGCAAACTATAAATGAAATCAAAACTTTTCTTAATTAAGAATTTAAATAAAAAGTGATCTGAAACACCAAAAATATTCTATTCCAAGTAGCGACTTCTAAAACTAATAAATCAATCTCTATTTAAATAATGTCACTTCAATTGAAAAAATTATTTTTTCGAAGAAAAAAAAGGAGATGTGACGCTATTGTGTCAAACAATAGGAATCGGCGACGTTCAAAGAAGCCAAATTGGGAAAATGAAAGTCCAAAAATTATTAAGCCTGTTTTGCCCAGCCCCTACTAAGAGTTCGCCATCCCTGTCCTACGAACTAATTGGCATACTAAAAGCAATCCTGTCCCATTTTTTCGACCTAGTCACAAGCAATAGATATTGTAAACGCACAAGATTTATATTGTCCTTTTTCTTCATCCTGCTACATCAAAATGATCAAAAAGAAAAGCAAACTTACTTCTTATGATCTCTTTCATCTCTGCCTGGCTCATTGTAACCCGTTTTGAGAAAAAAAATTCCAACAAAATCCAATTCTCCTTGAATTCAGCAGAAATTTCATTGAAATTAAAGAAAAAAAGTGCTTTCAATTTCTCCAATCTTGCACATCTATCAGTCAGATACAGCAAGGACAACAAACCACAAGAATTTGACTTCACAATTTCCACAACTACCCCCCCTCCC